AAAACTCACCCCAATCTTGCAACTCTTCTTTTTTTAGTTCTGTTATCCATGCTTCCTGAAAAAGGACAACCAGAAATACACATGCCATGCACCAATGTGGATTTGTAAAATTCCACTATGGTGGTTTTAACTTTGTTTGCTTATTTCTTCCCTAATAAATCCTAAGGTTTTATTTGCCTGTCACCAAGATCTCAGCTGACATTTTTAGCTAGTCTTTCCCCATGACACAAACCATTTCCTGGCCAGTATAGGAGGCCATCACCAAGTGTGCATCATTAGCTGCTTTTCATGCGTGCAATACTTGGCATTTTTCAACACAGATTTCCAAATTGTCTATTTGGGAAAAAAAAAAAAATAAAGCAAGGATCATGATCTCGTATCTGAAAGCCTGCACATTCTTCAGCTAGTGAGGAGTAAAGCAAGAATGTCTCAAGCTTGTCCTGTGAACAAGTTTTACTTTAACACATTCTTGTAGGTATAACATGTTTTAAACAGAAAAACTATAGCTTGTGGCAACATTAAAGAAGCCACAGCATCAACGCTTCCCACTCTCTCATGGCAGATTAAAAGGACATGAATCACCCTGAAGGCTGGATAATTACATATTTACATAAGCTGTTTCAGGAGGCCTGCTCTACATGGTTTTGCAGTTCTAGTTTCCCCATTTTTTTCTGGCATGAGAAACCTGCCCAAATTCAGTTCAGCTGCAGACTATAAACAGAATTAGGCTAATCAATCTCCACAGAGCACAATCAAATAAAACTTCTCCTTAATACATACATGTAATGTTTGCTGAGGACTACAAAGCACTAGAGCTTTAATATACTGGTATATTCAACTATCTGCTTCCTTACAGTACGATGATTTTCTCAAAGTTACATATGGGTCATGGTTGCCAAATACAACCTGCGAAACCTGAAAAACTTCAGGGATCAAGTTGTTACCAAATATTATTTGATCACTTCCTTTGCTAATGCATCCACATATCAACCATTCATAGCCAGGCTGTAAGATCTATCCCATCCTTTGTGTGCCATCTTTTTCTTCCCCCAAAGGACTGCTAATCCAAAGCTAAAGCACGAAGAAAGGTAGAGGAGGTATAACTAAACTCTGCATTTCAAGCAACATGAAAACCAGAAGAAATTAGTACCAACTATTAAAGCACTACAGGTCATTGCCACTTAAAGCACAGAAGCATGAAATTACCTACAACTAATTATAAATGGTTCATTTTTGTGATTAACAGTTTCCACTGTCTTCCCTTCAATGTATTGATGTATACTTCAGCTACTAAAACTTGTCTGAGACACAACTCTTATGTGATTTAAGTCTAATGTGGCCATCCCAGGATTGCTCAGGAAGACACCACCTTCCTCCCAAGCCCAACTCTCCCTGACAGACCATGACACAGCAATGCACCACATGGTCCTGCAATAGGATCCCTCAAGATACACGATACTGAATGAAAGTTAGGAGATTATGAGGCTACCATGGTGCACTAGCATCAAGTGATGCCAGTTTGTGCTTTGCCTGGTATTGGCTCCATAATCTGCTTCTGCTGTTTCTTTTCCACCTCCCTTCCTTGCACAGATGTGGGACACTGATACACACGCAGCCCTTTGCTCCACGTGCAAAGCTGGAGCTAAGTCACAGCTACCCTTCCCTTGTCCTGGTGCTTCTCCCTGGCTGGATCACTATTTTCTGAGAGGGAGTTACACTATGACAGGAGCTCTATGCCTAAGGAGAGTGCAAGACAGAAGACAGCCTCGGAATATTCAGCACTGACTCGTGGTGCAGCACTTAGCAAGGGAATCACAATCTTCCAGACACAGGTTCTGGTCCCCTCAGCATGTTCAGATCAGCTGGAAAGTTATTTAAGAGAGAAATCCTCACACACAGCCCCCTTAAATTACTGTTTTACTAAAATTATATTTAGTACAGCAAGATTCAAATAGCATCTCTTATGAAGGCAAAGTTCCAGAGTTTGGTGAAAAAAGCTTGAGAGCTCCAACTAAAAGGTTTCCCTTACATGAATCTGACAGTAGAAAAACAGTTTGGTTATTTTACAACATCTCTCAGGTTTGGGGTTTTATTTTTTGCTTCAAAACATGTCATTTTCAGTAACTAGAGACAAAACTTGAGCAAAATGACTTGTAAACAAAAGGTCTATAACACAAGTGATTCCCTCAATTGTATAAGAAATTATTTTAAAGGTATACAGCTGCTGAAACAGATTTGCAAGTACATTTACAATATTCACATTATCCAATAGAGTGATACTGATGGGGAAGGAATAGCTAATGTCAACAGGAATGTCAATGTGATATTCTTGTGGAAGAGATTAACAGAACTCTTATTTTTTTAGAAGTTTATGTTCTACAAGAACTGGAACTGCATTCACTGTTTCTGCCTTTCTCTGTACCCCTTGGAGTTTATGTATGTATGATGACAAGTAACCTGTTCCCTTACTCACTCCTACCCTCTCAATCCACACCTGTGATGTCAAAGTTCTTTAGTTGCAGATTTATTTCTACCCTAAGCAGAGACAGATGCACTGAAAAAAACCCCAACATCAAAACAATAATGAAAAAACCCAAAACATTAAAGCAGAAATACACAGTCAAGGACAACCTTCAATGTTGTAACCATGGACTTATCTCTTCCTCCTGCTTCACATAAATGAAATTCTAGTATCTACTACAGAACCTATTCAATAAGTTGCCAGTAAAGACCAGCAGTGGCACACCGGCCAGCATCATTCCCCATTTTGTAGCTTAATTAAAAATAATCCAAGGCCAGTTGTCATAGAAATGGTGTTGATTTTTTTTTTTTTAAGCCAGCCTTTAACAAGCTGTTGATTATGGAAAGCAGGAAATGTGATCCGAGGTGGCTGAAGGCTGGTAGCAAGGCACGGAAGAAAAGAATGCACAGACCTTTTGCTGCTTCAGCCTCGGGAGTCTCTGAGCACAGCACTGATTTGATTTCATGGCTGCCCTGTACAGATAGCTGACATTACTAAATGCTACTCCAGTATCAACTTGTTAAATTTGAACCCAGACTCAGCATATCAATATACTAGGCCAGACTAACTGGAGTCAAGAGAAATATTTTGGGAGTTGTTTATTTTTAAATGAGTCACAATACACCATGATAATTAACTGGACTATGTAATTAAATGATTGCCATTGAATCTGTTATATTGGTCACAAAGATTAATAACAAATACAATGGCATTTATCTATTTTATTCCAGTGTATTGCTGAACTGCTGTGAAATCAACTATGTTTTTTGCTTGGTTTGGTGGGGGAAGCTTTTAAATTTTTTGATGTTTTATAGAATATTTACCTATTTACTGGTTTTACATAAAAACTGAAAAGAGCCATTTGAGGACTGAAAGGTTCCTGTACCTGGTGTTTGTGTCAATCCATTGTAAACACTGCTCCTGGGAACTGAAACCAACTATTACCAGTCCAGTGTCCTAGAAGGTTTTCTGGAAACGTTAGCTAACAGTCTAATCCTGAACTTGGATTAAAATACAGAATATCTTTCATATCAGCTGCCATTAAACACAAAGACCAGCAGTGCAAGTTGATGAGAAATGTACTTTAAGTTCATGACTCAACTTTTTTTACAATATACTTTCAAAATAACTGACACATTTTAATTAGTCTGAATCTTATCTGTTTGTGCTTACTGTGGATTTACCCACCACTTCACAGTGTGATTTTGGGAAGAAGATTCACCAAATAACATATATATAAACATATATATATAGTGTTTATCTGTGATCCATGGTGAGTTTTATAAGGAAGTTTAAGCATAAATCACAGTTTCCCATGAAGGAAAGAGCATTTTTCTTTAAACTCTAACCAAAAAGCACTAAGGAAGTCAGAAAGTGTAGAATCATCAGGCACCACTCTAAGGGCAACAAAAGACAGAAAATTCCAGGCTAACACCTCCAAGGTAACTGTCTTACTAGTTTAGAAAGGGACTGTCATAATTATATGGTCTTTGGCTAAAGCCCTTTGCTTAAACAATCATGTTAGTTATATGGCAATAGTGTCAAATCAATGAGAATGAGTTCTTAAAACAATTTTAGGAACCATCAATTGTTGCACTTTTATCAGCATTCATAACTAAAAATATTCAGATAATTTAAGTCCTCACAATGTTATTTAAACAAGGCTTAAAATCCACCTTTCATCTGGCCTTATGCTTTACTAACTGCCTTAAGAGTTAATAAGAGTAGACATCTCTGCAGTTTAGCTGGACATGAATTTAATTACAAAAAAATATATATTTAATATAAGCCTTCCAGACCCAAGTACTATAATTTGAACAGCAATGTTGTTGGGAGAGGTATTAAGTTTCTCTGTACTTCTCAGGCTGAAATAGTAGTTGGAAGGAGGAAAAAAAAAGAGCAAGAGGAAACTCTGAAAATTCCTGTGGTTCAGGGTGTATACAGAAACAAATGGTATTTACAGTTTCTCTGTTCAAATATGACTTATCTTTAATTCTGCATGCAACAAACTGTTCTGGAAAATGAAGCCTATCTGAACTAAAACTAAAAGATCACTCTTTTACCCATTTTTTATGCAAACAACTCCAGTAATTACTATTAATTTACTGAAAAGTTAAGTGTTTATAACTACAAAGTTCAATCTGAAATTTAAATTACTCCCATGTCTTGATAACTATACAAGAATATCCCTCTGAGTTAATGTAAACAGCCAACTATTGTTTAAAATCTGTTAAATACATGTAGTTCACAGTAACACCTATTCACCTATGCTATTGTACATACCATATTCTAAGAAACTAATCTAATACCCAAATGGTACAGATAATTAAAAAATTAACTTCCTAATGGTGGCAACTTGACATCATTAGGAAACTCTGAAATCACTGCGCTTAAGTCTTGGCTGCAAACTTTTATTACTTTCCAGATAAATTTCAACTGTAAAATACCATCACATTTTTCTATAAACCACAACACTCACCTTATGGGGCCTCCACAAAGTGCTAGACATTTCCCTTTTAGAGGTTCCATATCTTTTCCTAACACCAGTTGTTTTTCCTTCATTCCCAGCTTTGAACTGTATGTGCAACTGAGACGTCCTTGCACTATGACACTTGTATTTAAGGCTGGATAAGCAGCAAGAAACTTTTTGACGTGATCCTTCCAAGGAAACACTTCTTTGCAAAATATGGTGAGTTTTGCTCATCTGTGCATTTGGTCTTCCTAGTTCATTTATATTAATCTGATATTCTGAATCTGCTTTTGAGGGCAGACATGCAGATGTGCTACGTTCCAGTTTTAAATGAGGGTATTTTGTACCAGAGTTCAGATTTAACTCTGGACTGCAAGAGCCATTAACCATTTCACTGCTTGATCCAAATACTCTTTGTGTAAGATGAACTGACACACGTGAGAAGCCATCAGCCACTTCCTCACCAGTTGCCTGCTGAGGACCATTCAAAATTTGACTTTTGTCCTGTAATGATGCATTCAAATAAAGTGGTCGGATGTCTCTGACCTCGCCAGAAGAGCAAATTGTTTTAGACAGTCTAAGTCCATTGACTGCCGTTGAAAGGAATCCCTTGGAAATGGTCTGATCTTCTTTTGGTGACAGCTCACTAGGAGAAATAATTAATTTATGAGATGTTTGATAGGTGCCTCTGTGTGGTAGCTGACCGGAGCTTACTGGAGAAGCTGGAGGAGTACTGGAAGGACTCCTAGGAAAAATAACCAGTGATGAACAACGTCGCAATGGAATTTTAGTTTTCTTCCTCACTGACAAACCATCTTGGTCAAAAGTAGTATTACTTCTATACAGTGTTTCCTGAGATGAGTTGCTCCTGGAGGGATTACATTTGTTTGCAGTGCTTCTGTATGAAGAGTCACCATGTGCAACACTACTATAGAAAGTACTGTCACTTGTCCAAAGCGTGCCACTGCCACTGTCACTGATGACACTGTTACTATACGAACCTCCATCACTTGTGGTACTTGCACATGATCCGTAGTCACTGCCAGCACTGCTGAACGAGCCACTGTCACTTGCTGCAATGCTGCTGAGGCTGCCTCTGCCCAGAGCAGCACTGCTCAGAAGGCTGTCATTAGATCGATGGTCAGCCACGGCTCCAGTGCCACAGCTCCCTTCGCTACCAATACCAATGAATGAAGGGTCTTCAGCAGCAGCCACGGCATCACCAAACCGAGGACATCCACTCTGCTTCCTGGACTGCAAGGAAATGTGCAGTGAACTGCTCTTTTTTATTGGCAGTGAAGAAATAGCTGTGCTCTTCTCTTGATTAATTACTTGTTGCACTACAGGTGCATAAGCAGCTTGTCTAGGAATTAGTTTCACTTGCGTAATGCTAGGTGCAGAACTCTGCGATTTTTTGAAGTACATGCAATTATTACTACCCAAAAAATCTTCAGAGGTTTCTGATAATGGATCTGTGTTGCTTCTCTGGGTAGCAAAATGCAATCTTAACCGTCGTGCCATTTGTTCTCATTTCCACGCATGTTAGCAAATGAAACCCACAAAAATCCTTCAGCAGAAAGGCTACAGGCAGCTGCACAGAACCCAGAGCTGGTACATGGCAACAGTAAAAGCCCATTAAAGTTGCAGTCTTTGTCCTAATTTCTACAAGATACTAGCATTTTAAAAGAAAGTACCTCTTGAAATAAGCCAGCCGTTCTTGAACTGTAGTTTCTAGATCGTCGCTGATTGCTTGCAGTCAGAAAGCCTTCATTTAGAAAGCTCTTATGTTCCAAGGACCTCAGCTGCAACAAACACTACTGACCTTGTTTCAATTACACCTTCTGGAATTTGCATAAATGAATACTATAATAGGCTTCCAGAACTTCCAAGTTCCAAACAGCAACGCCTGCAGCGGCTGCACGAGCTGAGTCAATGTGTCCGTACTTTCCTCAGCAGCGTATGACTACTAATATTTTTACCCATAGGTTTAGAATTACAGGAAGTTGGTAGGAATGAAGTCCCATATAATTGAGTATCAAGTCCAGGATTGAATTTCCAAATAGTAACTATGCTAGCAAACTGCTGAGGTCTGAATTATGCACAAACTAGTGAAATAAGCCTCCTCTCCCTTAAGAAAATGTTTTTCTGCACTATTTAAAATAAAACTTGAAAGAAATCTGGCATTATCTTGCAATCCACATGCTGCTAAGTAATCACAGTTTCTGAAGATCTGCACATAGTAGAACTCTGTGTTTATTAATTCATAATTTCAAATGAGGTGCAACTGAATAGGAGCCAAAAGAAGTTTTTCTAGTTAATAATCTGGCATTTGTTTTTATTTCTAGTTTGACCTTTTCTAACTACAGCTGTTAAAGGTAGAAAGAAACAAAATTATTCTTACAAATTAAACTACCTCATCTTGTTTGCTGGAAGCCCAGAGTAAGGACACATTCATTACAGTTCAATGTGATTCGCAGGTATGTGACCAGCTACACAAACTTTAGAACAGTGAACTAAGTATGCACAGAGATAAAAAGCATTACCAAACAGAATTACAGAAGAAAGCTATTCTGCATAATTATATACAAACTGCCTCATATATTCATAACTAATTATTATTTTTTAAATTTTCATTTTAAAAATAAAATTATCAGCACGTCAAAAAGTTAATATACTGTCAATTCTTCCAAGAGTAAAGGGATTGAGAATTTCCTACAAGATGTTTCAGTGGCTCATCTGATCTGCAGAGGTCCTTTGCTGGCACCTAGTGGGACTTTTGATAAAAGACAATCTTGAATCTTGCTGTTAAGTGGGATTTCTGTTGTGGGATTTGCTTTGAAAAACACCAACATTTGGCTCTGAATGTACTTTTGAATGCATAAGCCATATATGATGCAGTACTGAATGCTACTGCACTAACATGAAATTACTTAGTGCTGCTGAAAGAGTACAAACAGAAGAGAACACTAGGCCATTTATACTTTTATAGGTCATACTACTAGGAGTTTTTTCTGCTTCATATTTATTTAACCTTTACTGTATTTTAAGCTAGAAGGCAGTAAAATTAACATTTATACCTCCTTCCCAAAAAAGGGCCAAGAATCAAATTCACAGTACCTTGTTTGCAAGCAACAAATTTGTTTTCTAATTATACTCCAGGGCTTACTTAACCTCTATTACCTGAATTCCATTATTAGAATGCAGCAATAAATGAATACTAGCTTATTCATAAAAAGCCAACAAATACAACACTTCATTTAGTTCATTATAACCAACAGAACTTCTTCTAAAGTTATATGTTGGTGGGGGACTGGGATGGGGACAGAAGAGGAAAGGAAAATACCATAAAAGATTCTTTTGGTCAGTTTCAAAAAGTTACATTTGAACTTCAAGCAATACAGTAAAAAATACCCATAAAACCAAACAAACCAAACACAAACCAAAAGCATCAGCAAGTGACCCTAAGATATATGAGCAAAATGCAAAAAATACATTTCTTAAAGCTTCTTCTCTCCCCAAGAACAAATGTATTAGTGGAACAGTTTGTAACATGTTGGTGTGACACAAAGTGCAGCCATTGGAGGTGCTGGTTTCTTTTAGTAAAAGCATTGCTTTCTCCCCCCGCTGGATGATCTGCAATATTTTGTTCAATTTTACTAAAGAAATCCTAAGAAAACAATAACTGACATAACTTGGTAACTCAAGATTCCAGCAAAATTTCTCAACATGTCTCTCTTCCTTAGCTGTACCAGCATAGGTACTGCCAGCCAACTACAGCTTTGTCAGGTGATATAAAATGGCTTTTAAAGTGTTCAATGTTGCTGATTTCAAGTTGGCATAAAAATAAACTAAAACTTAGTATTTTTTTAAAATACCAGTGGTTCCATTCTAAGCTTAATATCATTGATTTCTTCAGCATCAATAACAGATTTAGACATTTAGTTTGCAATATACTTAAATTACAAGATATTGTAAGACAAATAGCAAGAGGTGTGGTTCCTTTACTGATTCATCTCCTATGTGATCTCAATGTTCTTGACATTTTTCTAGTGTGTTTTTGAAGACAACCATAATTAAAGACTCTACAAACCCTTTATTCTACAAAGGGTTTGCAAGTCAGAACAACAAACTAGATTTAGCACTCCTTTACCAAATCCAAGACAAGTGAATTTTTAAACTCTTGAAGCTATTACAGGAAGATTTCTAAACTCTGACTATTGGTGATATAACCAATGCAGCAAAACTCAAAATTTAAGCTAAACTCGGAGGAAGTTTTTGAGGCTGGTATTTAAGAACACAACATTTCTTAAAAACAAGCAAGTATTTCTGGCTTCCATTTATCCCTAAAAGTTAAAGGGAATAAAAGCACTTGGGGTAAAATATAAGAATATTTCAGTTTTATCAGATTGCTCATATTTAGATTTTAAACAGTCATCCAATAGGTAGATGAAAGAACACTGAAAATAACAGAATAAAATACTAAAATAACAGGAGATGAAACACCTTTTGATCATAGCTACTTAGCAAGGCACCTAAGATTTTTGATATGTGAGGATGAATTAATAGGAGTGGGGGAGTTTGTCAATGCTAAATAACAATCATAGCTAAGGCACCAATTTGTCTTACTTAAAACCACTCAAGACATGTGGGATAAAAACATTGTTTCTGAGAGCAAGCTAAAGAGAAATAGGAAGAAGGCGTCTTCCATTCACTAAGTGAGACAGAAGCAATGAAAAATATAGAGATTTTATTACAGAACTATAGAGTGACTGATGAGGTCATGATACTTTGATCTCTAAATATAATCATTCATAGGAAACAAAGCACCATTTCCTAGCTGATACCAACAAAATGTTTAATTGGTTCCTCTCCATAAGCACACATATTAAACAACATATATTCCAGATTAGAGAAAAAAATATGAAGGAGTTCTCCTGGTGGAAAATACAAAGAAAGCACTGGCCTTCTGCTTCTCAAAAATCAAGGACCCTACATTCTAATCATGCCTTGTGGCTTCCAGGTGGTGGCAGCAATGCTCTAACGAGACGTGCAATGGACAGAGTACACTGACCTCCTGAGGGATATGCTGTAGCCCATAATATTATATCCAGATGAAAATCTGAGCATCTTGAAAACCACGTTTAGCCTCCCACGTGGGCCACAAGTGCTCGTGATCCCTTTTAGCATTGCTTTTAAATAAATCAGACACCGTATTTGAAATATTTGGGACAGGTAGTATCACTAATTCAGTAGTAAATGGGGGGACTGTGTAATGCCTATAATCAAGAAACAAGCCTCCTTCTTTCTTAAATCTCATAATTCTAGGCTGTTTGTACTTATATTTACACACATTTTCACTCTTCCCAACCTTGGAAGAGTAGTACTTTGATAAAAGATACAATGGTTTACTGAACACATGCAGAAAGCTTTAGGAAAAAATAATGTTTTTCATGGCCAACACACTACTCAAGCACAAAGAGATCCTTTCTTTGGAATGAAGCTGTGTTTGGTGTGCAAGAGCACTCAATCCCTCCTATTAGTTAAAAACTCCTTGGAAGGGAAAGGTATTTATTCCAGTGACAAGGAACTTCAGTGAAATTGATCCAAGTGTCATGACTGTACTGCTACAAGCTTACTCACAATGAAACACACAAACAAATACAGGTAATTGGACATCTGGACACCAAATGAGAGCTTGGGTCAGAGGAGGAATTTCGATTTCGCTGAGATAAAAGCACAAGCTGCCCTATCTCACCAGTGACCTGCCATTCAGAGTTACATTTATCTACAAGATTACAATCCACTGTTCACTTCTTGAGCTTTCCAAAGAAAATCCATGTATGCTTTCTTTCATGCTACTCCTCACACACTGAAGAAGCTTCTCACACCACATATCAACAGTGCTTTGTTTGTATGGAAAAAATAAATATCCAATGTACAGCTCTCAGTATCACCAAAGAATTTGGTCCTATCACATGAACAGCACTATAAAAGAATGATGCTTTCATGAGTTAAAGCACATTAGAAATTTACAGTAATAATGCAACTGCTTCAGAGGTTCAGGAGTGTGGTAATGTCAAATAAATAAACGAATCAGGTCTGCCTTTAGTTTTAGGTTTCATTACAGAAATTAAGGTTGTTTGGAGTGGGTTTTTTATCCACATTGAATCCTAATGGACTTGCTTTCATTCAAGTCTTTAATACACTGCAAAATTAATAAAAAAGACCTACCAAACGATTTTCATCAAATACTTGAAAAAGGAGTCTGTGCTTCTGAGGATTAACCTATGAAAAAGAAGTGTAGTGATAATTAACATATATACTGAATTCCAGCACTTGTCTTCAGCAAAATCTCCGTGTGTATAGAGGAGGAAAGAAATACCAAAGCTCTCTATTAAACAGCAAATTTATACCTTGCTGCCATTCTACTATGCAATGCATTTCTATTAGAACCAATAAGCCATAATTGGTAGTATCCCAAACTGCTTCTAAATCCATGCACATGCTTTTAAACATTCACAGAATAAAGAAGACAAAATCAAGACTAAAAATGTAACATTTGTGCCAGAGTTAACAAATGTATTTCTAAAGAAAGCTGATATTAGAAATTAGAACATTTAAGAATATTAATTGTAGAGTTATTTCTGAATTAGGGAAGAGTTCTGAAGTAGGAAGAGTAGTGAGTAGTTTTTTATGTGTCAGCATAATATCCAACAGGTAATAAGGCTATAAACAAAATCACTTACTCTAAATAAGAGTTCTTCATTCCATTTTGGGTTTAAGGACTATGCATGGAGGAAGAAAAAAAAAAAAAAAGAAGACAGTACTGGTTATACTGATAATTCTGTACAAGTGTACATAATTTTTCATGTATTACACATTTTATTCCATGTAATAATCCACTTAAGACAAAAGTAACCTTTAAACTTGATATTACTGGTAAAAGTGAAAGAAGTCTTGTACTGTTTAATGCAGTGCAGAATGGAGACAACTTATGCAGGTATTGTGAGATGTTGGCTATGCCATGGATGCAGAGGAGGTGCATTAGACCCTTGAAAACAGTTAATTTAGACTATGTCCCTTCAATAATAATCACTGCCTTCCTCTCAGTTCAACACCCACATTACTTACATGCAAATTCTTAAATGCCAAATCTCTAAGCAACATAAACTACACAGACCAGGCACAGATGGGCCAAACACAGCATAACACCCAACTAAACTCATCTTTGAATTGTGATTATTTAAAAAAATACTACAGAGAGTTTAGCTACAAAGAGAGTAATGTAACAATTACCCACATGGAAGGAAAAATGCACTCTCATAATAGAAATCACAGCCACTATCTGAGAACAACAATTTGGAGGAGTGCTTTCCCTCTCATATATAAAGTTCTTCCTTTTTAGTTCAACTAAGTTAGCAGTACTGACTTTTTCCTGCATGTATTCCAGAAAAACAAGTAGTATCATGATTCAGGCGAATGGTGCAATTTGATGTTTAAACAGAACACATTGTGTTTGTGTTTTAACATAAAAAGATAAAAGTTGTACAAGAAAGACCTCTGAAATGTACAACATTAAAGATGTCAGAAAATCCAGAACAATCCAGTACTTCCATTAAATGATGTAGTTTTAAATCAGTACTCACCTTATATTCCTCAGTTTTTCCTCCACCTTTCAATAAAATTTTTGCAGAGAAAATACAACAATAATGCCATAAACAGAGAAGCTGAGCAGACCATGAAACATTTCTTCCCATTCACTCAAAAGACATGAACTCTCATATTTCCTAGAGCTTTAACTTTTCCTCTGGAGTTTGATTTTAAAAAAAACCTCAACACAATACCACAAACCCCAAACAAACCCCACCACACCCACAGAGATAAGATGACTAACCTTTCTAATAGTTTTTGTCTGAATGCTGGTAAGGACTCCATTCACTGGATCATACAATGTCACTTTCACATATGGGTCACTGGTAGGGAAGAAAACCAAACAAATAATATGCTGCTCTATGCCCTTTTTTGGTCACCATTATCAGCAGTCAAGTTTCAAAAAGCTTAAATTAATAGCAGTTATGTAACTGGGGTTACAATTACTTTACAAATACCACAGACATTTGTAATTACAATCATTTCCTACACAGTTTTAGAGATAAAACTAATACAAACACTAGTAGTGATAATGATCATATCAGTACAATGTGACTCTGTCCTCTTGCACAGTTATTTCAGGAGAACAGATTTAATAAATCCTCTCATATTTCAACACGACATGCATGAAAAATATCAGTTGTGACTGAAAAATCTTGAAGTAATATATATCTTAATGCTTTAGAACACCTGGAATTTGAGGTACTTCCTCAAACATGCAACTATTTTGTAAAATGTTCTATCATCTTGACAGAGTTTGAACTTAACCTGATTTTTTCTGTTAATGAAGATGTCCTAATATTGTTGCTTCTAATGTCCTACTGCCTTTTCCCTTCCTGTGGTATTAAAACCCAATATATTATATGAATATCTACTTTTCATGAACAATCAATTGCTCAGAGTAGTAACAAAAGGTGACCAGGATTGTCTGCCATACAGCAAAAGAGCATAAGGTTTTCACATATTTAAGTTATGATGAGAAAAGCTGATCTGTTTTTGCTTGAGGTTAAAAAAAAAATGTACATGAACAAAAAATTTAAGGGAGACTGTCTGGCTTTAGGGAAAATATGAATTTCACAAGAGAAATTTTTCTATTGCTAAACTGATATCACACAGTGCAATTTTGCTAGTGCTAAAATAACAATATTTCTGCACATATGCCAAAGCAGCTGACAGCAGAACTTGTACTAAACCCAGCAATACTTTTTTTTCAGCACAAAATGCATTCTGCCACTTGCCAACTCTACAAGATCCTAAAAGCATTTCCATTACCAACTCAAAAGTCTGATCATTGCTTCACTAGACGTTAAGCCACTGTTCCTCTCTGCACATACTTGGAGCTGGAACAGTCACAGCTACCAGAGTTGAGCACTGTGTTCACTCCAAGTCTTGCAAGCACAGATGAGAACTCTGACTACAATTAAACTGCAGTCATTTTAGCTGCAGCCCTACCTGAAGTGAAATAGAGACATGGATCTACCCTCCACAGCAGAGTTATTTTACCACGCACAGAATAAAACATTCCTCTACTTTGTTTTGCATAATACATAAGATCTGTCCAAGTCACTCTTGGACAAGAAAGCAGATATCTTCATGTTTATGTAGTCTCTAATAATTTTATAAAGTTGCCAGTTGAAAGATTTTTTTTTTTTTGCAAGAGGCACAGAAGAACTT